TCACAGGCAAAGCACGCAGGATCGCCGCGCGATCAGCCATATACCAAACTATAGCCGAACGCGCTACCTGTCTGCGCTCTCTCAAGTCTTGTTGTTCTATACGCTTGATTACGCGGCTTGCAATTCATGTTCTTCGCTGCGGGACCTTGTCATCAACCCAGATGTCACACGTTTCCGATAATGTGTGTAGTCTGGAACGGTTTCTAACTATCAGTACCCTCTAGCATTATTTCCATTTATTTTCGAGTGATGTAAGTGGCACACTCAAGATTCGAGCCCGCAACGTACCTTTAAGTGAATTATATGGAGAACGGTCGTTCATATTGAAATTCAACCGCTCACTGAGTTCCCTTTTCAAGCGACTAATCAAATTTTATCGTTCCCCAATTGCAGGTGCGACGCCAGTACGCGACACTGTTGTGGAACAGTTGCGAGCGTGTTAAATGGGCGTATTAAGTAAAGTTAGAAGGGTGTTATCAAAACCATGACGTCGTGGTAATTGAACTGGACGAACCATTACCGGAAGCACGACTGGTTCCTCTCTGAAAGTTTCCCGTTTCCTACCATGTTTACACTTATCGCGTCCATCAACATAAAGGGACATTTTGTGCCCACGCACCGACCGACAAGGCGACCTATCGTCAGTGATTTATGCGAGAAGAGTGACAATTGATCCGAAAGTGGGGTATTGATAGCCCACGCGCCCGGAAACAGTGGGATCTGGATCCGAGTATCGGCTTGGGATGCAGGGCACATCGTTGTTGGGGAATCCCCAATAGGGGGGAGTCGTATTTGGTCGCCAGGAGAGGGGGTCGTGTACCAACTTCCAAAAAAAAGGGGGGGGGGTCGTATAGAGTCGACTGAAATCCCCAACCAATGATGTGCCCTGTTGTGATGAGCGTTCTGCTCACATTTTCAGCAGTCTTGTGAGAAGGATGATCGATTCAGGAAAGGAGTTAAGTTTGTACTTACAGCTCCTTCAGAAAAGCCTTAGTAACCTATGAAATATTTAAAACTTACCCTAGCAAAATGACCTGCGTTGCACAGTGGTGACGTACAAACACAAAGTAGAGAAGGAGTCTGAAAAGGAGATTATGGCCATCAAAAGAAGCCATTGAATGACATAAAGGAAACAAAATTATAAAAAGAAAAAAAAGAAAAAAACTGCTACGAAAATTCAGTGCAATGTTCACTGGGGGGGGGGGACTGATGGTGCATTTCTGTGAACTGCTGTTACCTGCTGCGAAGCTTGCGAGTCCCATTTCCGAACCACTTTCTGCCTACGATGGTTCGCCTTCCCCTAGAGTTCCTTCTCTCCTCAAACTTGGGTGAACCGCTCATCCGTTTCTTCGTATGTACATACCTTCCTGCACCAGGGACAGTCTTTCTTAGGAACAATCGGGTCTAGTAACATTGCGAATGGGGAAATCCTCGCGCAAAGCTGGGATTACCCTAATAGGAACGGGTTTATTTACTTGAAATCACTTCATCTAATTTCATAGCTAACCAGGAAAGGTCAACAGGTCAGCCTGGCCATTTGCAATGAGATGCACATCACTGTACTCATCTTTACACGCTGAACTCAGAACTGTCTTCAAAATTTGCAGAACGATTCTCTGAGCGGAGTTATGGAGGTTTTCTTTACTGTTTTTCTTCTTACGGGCGCGCTGGCGCCGAAGCGTTGGCACCGGTAGCGCGACTCACAGCGCTCTTCGCGCAAAACAGGTATCATATTCGTGTTCAGGGGGTCAAATAACCCCTAGGGACGTCACCTTAGCGAAATCTGAGCTTCTGACTCAACTTCGTAAAAATGGGGTATGGATAGTCATGGCTAACTGATAGCTAACATCGATACTATGACTAGCATACTGGTGATGACTGGTCTTCGAACTGAAATAACTCTTCAGTCATGTCTTTTTGCAAACAACAGTACCTGGCTTACTTATTTGTGCCGTCTGCATCATTTTCTTCACTATCGGGAGGAAATCCCATTCCGAGACCAGTCATCGATGGTAGGTGAGCTCCAATCTGCTGCTAATTTACCCATGGAATAGCCCACACTTTCCGAATGAGGTCGAAAAATCAGATTCGGCCAGAAACTTGTCCCCAGGGGTAATTCGACCCGCTGAACATGAATATGATGATATTTCATTACAAAAACCCTTGTGACACGTGTTACGAGGGGTACAAGCAGAAGCACTCTTTCAGTAGGGTAGTGCAGGCGAGCAGAGATGTTAGAAGCTTTGTCGGCTATGTTCTTGGACAAATGCAAAAAAGGAACCTGCCCCAGAACCGATCCTACGACGTCCCGCCTAAGAAACCCGCTCCCTATCCGTTGCGCTCTGCTGCCACGTTTCAGAACGATTCCATACGTAAATGTAAAGACGCTTCAACGTTTCCTCGCGACAGCACGTGAAACGACCATGCGGGGATAAAACCCTTCATAACTCCGTTCAGAGAATCGTTCTGCAAATTTTGAAGACAGTTCTGTGTTCACCTTCCCAAGACGCGTACAATGGTGTGCAGCTCATTGGAAATGGCCGGGCTGACCTGTTGACCTTTCCTGGTAAGCTGAAGTTAGGCTGGAGTTTTTGTCTCTAGTAGCTCTCTATTCCTAGTGTTGCGAGGAGAGTCCCCTAAGCACTTCCCCAAAGCTAAGTGAACCTGAAATTCGGAAAAGCAGTAGAGTTTGCAGCTTCAAAAAGCCTACAACAGTCCAAAAAACAGCTTCAAACAGCTAACCCCGCAAGAATTTCCTTTACGGAATGGCCCGTCACAGAATAGGAATGAACCGAATGATGCTTGCTCCCCCAAGCTCAGATCCAGTAAAAATTATGAAAATGTCATGATGTATTTCAAAAAGTAAGTGAGTATATAAGATAAATCCAGAAATCCTAAAAACAATAACCATTTGTGAAGGAGGTGCAGGAGGCGAGTCTACAGACCATTTCGGTGCCATCGATGGTGAAACCTAAACCGGTATTAACAGCTTTGAAGTTGTACAATTCTCTAGTAAGCACTAAGAATGTTTCGTAAAAAAACAGCTTCAAATAAAGAATAGGGAAGATTAGCTCCGCAAAAGAATACCAGATAGCCATGAGCGAAACTCTTCAGAAATTATGTGAGCATCTAGACAAGTATACAGGGGGGGGGGGCAAAAAAAGACACTTCGACCGAGTCACATATCAGCAAAGTTTTCGCAGCCCAGACAGAAGACGTGGATACGAGTACCAGGGCGGAAGATACCCAAGATGTTCCTCGATAAGCAGGAGCTGGCTCTCGCCCATCACCTTCATGTACACCAAAATATGAAGTCATCTCCAATCGCAGCCTGACTGGAGAAGACCTTCAGAGTTCACGTCACCTCCAAACAGCTGCGAAACTTCTTGTATCGAATCACCCATGGACAGCCACTTGGAGACCGGCATTCTCAATCTGGAAAACCTCCAACATCGAGCAGCTCCGACAACGTCGCTACGGTCCAGGACATCATCTTCACCGCAGTCGCCAAGGCGCGGTGGTATGTACCGGAAGTTTGGAATGGGAAGACCGATATTTTCTTCGTGGACCCCGGACTGAAAGTGAACGCTGACGGTTACATCGACCAACTCGAGGAGAATATCCTGCCTTCATGTCGTCGCCTGTACCATAGCAAACTTCGTACTGCTGCACTGCGATTGGGTGCCAGCACGTGGAATCGAAGGGCGTTGGAATAACTGTCGTCTACTTGAAATCAAAGGACGTTGAGAACCTTAAGGGGATGGAATATCCAAGTGTGTCACATGACCTAAGCCCCCTCGATCACCGGGTTTGGAAGGAGCTCAACAGGGTGGTCTACAGTGGCGGAGAAATCAACTATCTCGCTGATCTCAGGCACCGAATCGCGGTCGCGTGGCAGAATCTCTCGATGGCGCTCGTCCAGAAGGCTGTGGCGGAGTATCATGATAGTGTACAATGTGTTGTTGAATATGATGGTGGAAATGTCCAATCAGAATTCAATAAAGTGTAACTTATATCGCCTTGAAAGTCGAGGAAGAAATGTATCTTTTCTTGCCCCCCCCTCCCTGCATACCTAAGGACAACGTGGGGCGTAGCTGCCATGACTATGAGGGTCAACAAGAGAGACAGGGAAGTACAGGGAGGACGAGGTGTATGAGAAAGACATTTCGCTTGAGCAGTGCATCATCAATGTTCACTTCGCGCAGGCTGGCAAGGCAGGGGAATACGCAGCCGCCGCCGAGATGCCCAGTACTGCCTTCAATGCATTGTTGTCGTGCAGCAAGGAGAAGAGCAGGCGAAAAATCGAACAAAAGTCAAATAGAGCGAAAAAAAATGAAAATGTTGCTTCTTAAGGAGGAAAAATTGAAGTTATCGATTCTGTCACCCTCAGCTTTTCGAGAGACGGAAGCCATCAAAACTGACCACGTTCATATTCTGACAGAAGCTGGCGCCAGGAAACAGCAGCAAATAATGGTATAGAGTTGATCCTGCACTTGTGCAGAACTTTCTCACTCGTACTTGCTGTCCACTACCGAAGACTGCCATGGAACACGACCTGACATTGCCAGGACAAGTAGTTTTCTGAAAAAAGAAACAATAATGATCTGAAGATTTATTAACGGAAGCTATCCCGATCCTCCCCTGTGAATTATATGCTAGCTTATAAGAGCGACTTCAGGCTCCACTTCTCAAGAATCAAGTCAATTTTCATCGAAGTTTCAGGCCGGTGGTGGACTTGGCTAAGCGCTTTTCCCCGATATGAGTTTGACCCGCTTGACATCATTATAGCGTCCGTTTGAAATGAAATGAAAAAGTTGTAACGCAAGGGCTCCAAAAAACAAGCCCCTTCGCAGAGTACACTACGGCAGCGTTCAGACTTCGCGACGGCAGCGTTTCGGTCGCACGTCCACCGCGATCGATGCGCATGATTTCGACTACGTCGATCGCGTCAAACGCGCGACCGAAGCGCTCCCGTCGCGAAGTATGAACGCTGCCCACTAGTCGAGGCTGCTCTCATAGTCTGGGTAGGTACACAGCCTTACGTGAAAATTGTTCGAAACTCTTGTGAGTGAGTGTGAACGTTCCGTACGTGCACATGCTCGAAATAAGTTACCTTTTCTATGCAATCACGTCCTTTCTTGGGGTTGCAGGTGTAGCATTCAAAGGTGAAGCCACAGGTTGCTAGGGTTAGCATCAAAATCCAGAAAAACTGGCCCGGCATCCTCGGGTTTCTTAGGCACTATCTGAAATATAGTTGGAAGTGTAAATGTTCTCATAAGGGATCGAAGAGCCTGATGCGATTGCGACAATAAGGGCACAGCTGATATCACCGCAATCAGTCGGGGCGGTGTCAGGAGGCATGGAATGGGCTCGCCTGAGACGTTTCATAACTGGTCGTTTGTTCCTGAATTGATTACTAACCGATCGCTATTGGTAGATAACGCAGCCGGGATGGGTACAGTTCAAACCTCCTGACACTCTCCCGACTGATTGCAATAATACCAACTAAGCAAATCATAGCAATGAGTAAAAGAGTGGAATCACAAAACATCCCGGAAGGTAGCCATTCTCGATAAAAAGTGAAAGAGGATATCAGGACTCGATAGCACATAGAGAGATGCTTTCCAGGGAATTCCTGTAGCAGAGAGCCAAGCCAAGTTAGTATCGGCTTCTGCTTCAACCCACCACTAGTCTACGATGAGGTTCACCCGCCCCTTTGAGATAAAGTGTGAGTTTTGCACCTTCCAGTGCCAAGAAACGATTTCTGGTAGATAGCCGGCTGCGTGAGGCCTCGGTCGCCTACAAGAAAAGCCAATGCCCATGGGATTAGTCTCCGCTGGAATGTATGCGAAGAGTTTGAAGGTGCAATTTGCGATTGCGGCTCATAGTGTTCAAGGATCAAAGTGTGGGCATCACATGATTGCGGGAGGAAGAAAAAGAAGGAAAACTGGGAAAGAATTCAGAAAAGACCAACTTCAACGAAACCTTTCTTGCAGTTCATCATGATCATAGACGAACATATGTACGTTGGTAAAAATCACCTGAGAGACACAAAAAGCAGCGATATAGTGAAGAGCGCGAGAGAAAGGAGTCTAGAAAGCCACAG